TCGGAATAACGAGCCAAATAATCGGAAACCAGAGAGCAACACGAGAGAACAGCACTACAGGTATCACAAGACCACAACAGGGCACTGAGGGACAGGAAAGGTAAGTATAAATACCCTTGGTTTAATTCTGATTGGATAACTTCCAATCAGAATTAACAATCACAGGTGGGGGATATCTATGCCTCCCACTGTGATTGTGGTACTGTTTCTTTAACGCCGGGTCACTCACGTGACCCCGGCATTTGCATAAATCAGCGACCTCCCAGCGTGCAGCGTTATACATGCTGCCGCTGGGAGGTGTGAAGGGCGCAAGCGGCAAGCCGACAGGTAAGAAGAGGGGAGACTGCGGGCGGCGATGGACTGAGGGTGAGTGCTGTTTTACAGTTCATTGAGAAGTCTTTGCAAGCCAGGTGCTGTGGACAATTGCCTGCCTCTTGAGTTTAGGTCCACTGACCTACACAACCAGTAAGTAACAGTACCAATTGTCTGACAGCCAAGGGGCTATAAAATGCCAATTAAGCTAAAAGAACCATGTTTATATATAATTGTTACTGCTTATATATAATTGTTACTGTTTACAAAAGTGTGAATTGTCTAATTTGTAACCATTATAAATATTGTTATAATAATTATAACTAGTAAATGTAACTATTGCTGGCTTATTTGTGTATCATCTCAGGAGAACATTGTTAGTCCGGCATATATATTTCAACCTAATAAGAATTAACCATACTGCTAATGATATTAATGCAATCACAAATGTGATCAGTTCTGCAGCATCCATGATTTGTATATATGTATGGTTGAAACTAAGTAAGCTTTAATGCATACATCTTTACATATCAATTAATATAAATACTTTATAATAAATTAATATATCACAAATTTATACCACAAAATGAGCACTAGGCTTAGACACAGAGACAAAGTTACATTAATATTGCCATACGATTAAACATATTATATAGATTTATAAAAAAAATCTTTATTTTTGTAGTACAAATAGAAACCTACGGGCTCATCATGACCCAACACCGAATGATGAGCAATATGGCTCAGTGTGCTCAGCTTGGATCCGCTGTTCAAATGTAGCTATGTGACTCTAAGAGCAGGTGAACTCCCCAGTGTGGATCGGCATAACCCCCACTGGTCTAAATGGGGGGGGGGACAGGGCTCAGAAACAAGTTTATCTGTAAGAGTCGGAGTCGCCGCCATCCCCTCTGGCTCACATGCAGTGGTAGGCCGCTGAGGCTTATAGTAGTGGCTATATACGAAGCTATGCCTGCCAAACTTGGTCAGTCTGTAAACTCAAAAAGCACCTGTGCTGCCGATAAATCAGGTAAGTGACTCTTGAAATAGCCCTAAATTGGGAGTAGTACCAGTTACATGCGGCTGCCTCCGTCGGCAGTCAGGCCCCGCCCCCATCATATAGATTTTTTTATGTGTATGCAATGCAAATAACTGACTTTGATGTTAAATTGAACTAAAAGTTCCTCTTCTATTTTCCCCTCTCACTTACCTTTCTTTTTTAATGTAATTTTGAATACTACAAATGGACTCTGAGACATGCAGAGCACATTGCACTAGCGCATTGGACTTTTCTTAAAGGGACTCTAGTGCCAGGAAAACAAACCCCTTCAGTGACTAACCTGAATACAGTGCAGATGTCCCTGGGTGCTGGATCAGGCTCCGCCCACGCTCCTCCCCCACCAACATCAGCTGCATTAGACCACCCCACAGGAAAGTATTATTTAATGCTTTCCTATGGGGATTCCGGCATCTACAAATGCTTGCAGTTTAGGGAATAAGATCCATGAACTTCTTGCAATAATGGCAACTGAGAATGTAGATTTAGTGGCTGTTAATGAGACATGGTATAATGAGAAAAGTGACTGGGACATAGCAATGCCAGGGTACTCTTTATATAGAAAAGACAGAGAAGGCAAGAAAGGGGGAGGGGTGGTCCTGTATGTGATGGATAGCATAAAATCTAGCCTATTAAAAGTTACTGATGCGAAAATAGAGTCCGTTTGGGTTACGTTAGAATTTGGTAATCACACCGTAACTTGTGTAAGTGTGATTTACAGGCCCCATGGACAACTAGAAGAGTTAGATAATCTACTATTTGAGGAAATAGCTAAAATGACAATGAAGGGGAAGTTATAATCATGGGTGACTTTAATCTTCCTGATGTTAACTGGAAATCCAAAATAGCAGCTTGTGCCAGCAGCACACATATTCTAAACTTCCTACTGGGATTGTCTCTAAAACAACTCGTTGAGGAACCAACTCGTAAGGAGGCCATACTAGATTTAGTGTTTACAAATGGAGATTTGGTATCAGATATTACTGTAGGTGAAAGTTTAGGATCCAGTGATCACCAGTCAGTTTAGTTTATTATAAGAACAGTGACTGAGTCACACCACACAAAAACAAAACGTTTTAGACTTTAGAAAAACAGACTTTTCTAAAATTAGATGCGGAGAGGAGTCATTGTCAGACTGGAGCAGTTTAAATGGAGTCCAGGAGAAATTGGATTATTTAAAAGTTGCACTGCTGAAGGCAAAAGAAAATTGCATTAGGCTTGTCAGTAAAAGGAAAAGAAATTAAGAAACCACTGTGGTACTCCGCAGATGTGGCCAAAATAGTTAAAAACAAAAAGTTAGCATTTAGTAATTATAAAAAAAAACAGAGTGAGGAAGACAGACAGATCTATAAGATTAGGCAGAAAGAGGCTAAGCAAGTTATAAGAGCCTCCAAAGCACACACAGAAGAGCAAATAGCACAGTCAGTAAAAAAAGGGGGACAAATTATTTTTAGATACATAAATGAGAAAAGGAAAGTAAAACAAGGATTAGTTAGATTAAAACCAAAATAAGGAATGTATGTAGAAGAGGATAAAGGTCTAGCTGATTGCCTCAATTAATATTTTGGTTCAGTATTTACAGATGAAAATGAAGGAAAATGAAGGAAAGGGGCCTCAGTTAGGAAAAAAGACAAATTAATCATTTGTTACATGTGCGTTTACAGAGGAAGAAGTTCAATTTCAAGTGTCAAAAGTAAAGACAAATAAGTCAATTTGGCCTGATGCGATACGACCAAAGTTATTAAAAGAACTAGTGATGTACTAGCAAAACCATTAACGGATTTATTTAACCAATCATTGTTAACAGGAGTAGTCCCAGAAGATTAGAAATTAGAGAATGTTGTACCCATTCACAAGAAAGGTAGTAGGGAGGAGTCGGGCAACTATAGGCCGACTCCTATTGACCCGTCTATTGACCTGTCTGCGGCTTTTGACACTGTTGACACTGTTGATCATCAACAGCTTCTTCTCATCCTCCGCAATATTGGTCTACAAGATATTGCTCTCTCCTGGTGCTCCTCCTACCTCTCCCAGCGCTCTTTCAGTGTTTCTTTCTCTGGCTCTGCCTCTTCTCCCCAACTCCTCTCTGTTGGTGTCCCCTAAGGTTCAGTCCTTGGTCTCCTACTGTTCTCCATTTATACTGCCTCCCTTGGTAAACTCATTAGCTCCTTTGGCTTCCAATATCATTTCTATGCAGATGACACGCAAATCTACCTGTCCTCTCCTGATCTCCTGATCTCTCCGCGTCTCTCTTGACTAGTGTCTCTGACTGCCTCTCTTCTGTTTCTGGATGGCTGCCCACGTCCTTAAACTAAACTTGACCAAAACAGAAATTCTGGTCTTTCCTCCCTCAAGTGTGGTTACTCCTGTGTCTGTCTCCCTCCCAGACAACTGTGGTACCATCAGCTCCACCACGCAGGCTCGCTGCCTAGGTGTTCTCTTTGACTCCGACCTCTCCTTCAAGCCTCATGTTCAATCTATCGCCAAATCCTGTTATTTCCATCTCAAAAACATTGCGCACATCCACCCATACTTAACGCCAGATGCGACTAAGGTGTTGGTCCATTCCACTGGCCTTTCTCGCCTTGACTACTGTAATCCGCTTCTCAGTGGTCTTACGTCACTAGTCTAATACTATCCTTACCTTTTTGTGTCATTTTACCCCACTCCCTCTAGCATGTAAGCTCATTGAGCAGGGCCCTAAACCTCTCTGTTCCTGTGTGTCCAACTTGTCTGGTTACAACTACATGTCTGTTCGTCCACCCATTGTAAAGCGCTGCAGAATTTGACGGCACTCTATAAATATAATAATAATAATAATAATAATGATTATAATAATAGGCCAGTAAGCCTTACTTCAGTAGTTGGGAAAGTGATGGAAACCATGTTAAAGGAGAGGATTGTTGAACATCTAAAATCACATGGATTTCAAGATCAGAGACAATGTGGGTTTACTTCAGGGAGATCATGCCAAACTAATCTAAGTAATTTTTTTGATTGGGTAACTAAAATAATACATCAGGGTGGTGCAGAAGATATTGCTTACCTATATTTCAGTAAGGCTTTTTACACTGTTCCACATCGAAGGCTCATCAATAAACTGCAATTTCTAAGTCTGGATTCCAATATTGTTGAATGGGTTAGGCAGTGGCTAAATGCCAGACAACAGAGAGTTGTAGTCAATGGAGAATATTCAAAGCAAGGTCTAGTTACCAGTGGGTTACCTCGGGGATCTGTACTTGCACCCATTCTCTTTAATATTTTTATTAGTGATATTGCAGAAGGTCTTGATGGTAAGGTATGTCTTTTAGCTGATGATACTAAAATTTGCAACAGGGTTGATGTTCCAGGAGGGATAAGCCAAATGGCAAATGATTTAGAAAAATTAGAAAAATGGTCAGAGCTGTGGCAACTGACATTTAATGTGGATAAGTGCAAGATAATGGACCTTGGATGTAAAAACCCAAGGGAAGAGTATAGGATATTTGATACCCTACTAACCTCAACATCTGAGGAAAGCGATTTAGGAGTAATTTTTTCAGATGTAAAGTTAGGAAGACAATGTAATAGAGCAGCTGGAAATGCTAGCAGAATGCATGGTAGTATAGTGAGAGGTATTAGCATTAGAAAGAGAGAAGTGCTTATGCCATTGTACAGAATACTGGTGAGACCTCACTTGGAGTATTGTACGCAGTACTGGAGACCGTATCTTCAGAAGGATATTGATACTTTAGAGAGAGTTCAGAGAAGGGCTACTAGACTGGTTCATGGATTGCAGGATAAAACTTACAAGGAAAGGTTAAAGGAACTTAACATGTATAGCTTGGAGGAAAGATGAGACAGGGGGGGATATGATAGAGGGGCAAAGGTTTAAAAATAATTTAAAGAAGTATTACTTTACTGAGAGGTTAGTGGATGCATGGAATAGCCTTCCAGCTAAAGTGGTAGAGGGAGTTTAAGCATGCGTGGGATAGGCATAAGGCTATCCTAGACTTAAGATAAGGCCAGGGACTAATTAAAAGTATTTTTAAATATTGGGCAGACTAGATGGGCTGAATGGTTCTTATCTGCCGTCACATTCTATTTTTCTATGACGCAGGAGGTTCTCATACATAGCGTGAGGACGTCCAACATCGTTTAAGACACTTTTTGTGTTTTAAGGACCTGGAAGGTTTTAACACTGCAAGGTAATTATTGCAGTTTATAAAAACTGCAATAATTACACTTGCAGGGTTAAGGGTGATGGGAGTTGGCACCCAGACCACTCCAATGGGCAGAAGCGGTCTGGGTGCCTGGAGTGTCCCTTTAACAAGAGGAGAATAATAATTTTTATGTTCAAAAAGAAAATGAGCTATTTTAAAATGAAACAGGGACCTAATTGGCGGACAGGGTGAACCACTGAGCCAAGCAGTATGGTATGGCACAAACCCTTTGTTTGCCCCCTATAATTGCAATAAATTGCATTGTCTCAATCTAAATAACTGTTGCTAAGAAACTCTATTGTGACGGAGCTTCAGTACTCCAACGGAGTACCTTCGCCAAGATCGCTCCCACGGAGCTATCAGTGACCCTGGAATACTTCACACCCAGTCACCGAGGCTTGATTGGGATCTTTGAGGGCCTTGTCCACCCTGGACCAGGCTCCTAGGATTATAGCCCTCTTTTCCCAAACACTAGATGACACTTGGTGAAGGTTAAGACAACAACTCTTTAATTAACACAGCATACATATTTATGCCCCCAACTGCCTTATTTACATACAATAGGGTGAACAGAGCACTATAGTACTTGGAGGGGTGGGGCCAGACAATAGCAAGGGCTGATGGGAGATTGAAGAGGGAAAGGACAGCTTGTTTAAACGGGTCTGTCAGTGTCCCTGGGACAACCCCCTGCTGGGGAAACAGGACAGGAAAAAGGGGTAGGGGGAAAGGCACAGGCAATCAATACATTCAACATACTTTGCACCAATACTGGGCACAGGGTGCCAAAACACAAGAGAAATCTTGGGACCCACACATAGTGTCTGTATTGTGCTACTTGAAACAACCACACCGTCTTTTTCCAGAGCAGTATGTATTTCTCCTGAAATTATCTGTGGGTTTTTCTCTGTATCCCAAACAATTCTTCGGGCTGTTGTGGCTGAAATCTTTCTTGGTCTACCTGACCTTGGCTTGGTATCAAGAAATTCCCACTTCTTAATAAGTGATTTTAAAGTGCTGACTGGCATTTTCAAGGCTCTGGATAACTTGTTATATCCTTTTCCATCTTTATAAAATTCCATTATCTTGAGCAGTTCTTTTCTGCTCCCTATGCCTCAGAATCTATCCTGCTCAGTGCATCCACGTAAGAGCTAACAAACTCATTGACTATTTATACACAGACACTAATTGGCATTTTAACCAGTGTGTGTCACCTTGTGTGTCTTTAACAAGGCCAAACATTCAAGGGTATGTAAATTTTTAATCAGGGCCATTTGGCTGATTGCTGTTATCATTATGATTTAAAAAGGAGCCTGTAGAGGAGATGCAATATTCCCCAGGTTATCTCCGCTTATGATCCAAGTGAGGCTCAGGAACAAGTAAATAATAAATCTACAGGCAAGGTTTCCAGCAGGTAAAATAACAGCAATATCCCCACAGCAATCCCAATAACTGGATGACACACAGTTTCAGGAGCAGAACTGAAAGCTTTAATCCACAGTGGCCTTTTAAAGCATGCTCCCATGCAAGGGAGGGATTTACACTCATTAGTACAGTAGCCAATCCTGTCCTGGTAACCTCCCACACATCTCCTCCCCTCAGCCATAATCCCCTTATCCAGTCTAGCAATTCCCCCCGTTTCTGGATGTACCCCTAAACGTAGGGGTACCCCTTTAAATCCTACATCCCCTGATAGCCCTGATCTGGGTGAACAACATATCCAAAAATCACCCAGATCAGACCAGGGGTTCGGGAAATTTATGGAGGGAATAAAATGACCGACCGCACTGACTGAAATAGCCGAATACAGTTCCATGCGAATGGGCCCTGCGGTCGGTCCTGGAATAAGGGAACAAACTGCACGAAAGCCTCTAGCTATAGAGGCTAGGGAGGGTTCGCCTGAATCCCCTCGTTCGGTTCTTTCTATCTACCGAACGAGGGGCCGTTCGGTAGTTTGGAACCGAACGGACCGGGCTTGTGGAGGTTTCAGCGGTGTTCACCTAGTCGAGTGTCCGATTTGAGTTCCAGACACTCGACGGCAAAACACCGCTGTCCGGGAGTTTTAAAATGTGTTCGAATGGCGGCCACCCCCGAGAACAAAGGACGGCTACTTAACTTGTCAATTACCCGTTCGCAACAATGTTGCAACGGGTGATTGAGGACACACTTAACACAGGGGAGGTCTGATTGTTCGGTAGTTTCATTCCCTTAGTTTATTCGAATGATTCTACCGAACAATCAGAGGAATACAATTCTTTTAAAACACATAGAAAACTAGCAGATCACACGAATGCAGTTATTTCAAAGACATTTGCAGGACAGTCCAGTGCCATCCGCTACACTGCTCCCCCTTGCCCACAAGCCGGCATACACAGTCTGATCCAACACGGATCGGCTTGGGGATGTCCGGGGACTCACGGATCATTTTTCCAGGTCAGTTTGTCTCGACAACCCGTCGGCATTCCCATTCTGTTTACCTGGGCGGTACTGAATATTAAAGTCAAAAGGCTGCAGCGCCAAACTCCAGCGCAGCAGCCTGGCATTGTCCCCAGCCACCCGGTTTAGCCATACCAGCGGGTTGTGATCCGTGAGTAAGGAAAAGGGCTGTCCAAATAGATACGGCTGCAGTTTCTTTAAGGCCCACACCACAGCCAGGCATTCCTTCTCGATGGCGGCGTAGCTTACTTCTCGGGGTAACAGCTTGCGACTGATGTAAGCCACGGGGTGTTCTCCGCCATCGGCCCCGACTTGGCTCAGTACTGCTCCCAATCCAAACATAGAAGCGTCTGTGTGAACAAGAAAACGTTAGTTGGATTGGGAGCTGCCAAGACAGGAGCATTTATCAGTGCATTTTTCAGATGTTGGAATGCCTGCTCACACTCCGGGGTCCAGGTCACCTGGCGGGGCAAATTCTTCCGGGTAAGGTCAGTGAGGGGCTTGGCGAGGGCGCTATAGTTAGGGACAAACTTTCTGTAATACCCAGCGGTCCCTAGAAAGGCTAACACCTGGGTTTTAGTCCTAGGGGTGGGCCACTGGGCCACGGCTTCTACTTTGGCTGGTTCGGGCTTCTGTTTGCCGCACCCCACTCTATGTCCGAGGTACTGCACCTCGGCCATCCCTATGCTGCACTTGGCCGGTTTCAATGTCAAACCAGCTTCCTTAATCCTGTCTAGAACTGCTCCTATATGGGCCAAGTGCTCCTGCCACGTATTGCTAAAAATGGCAATATCGTCCAGGTAGGCACAGGTGTAGTCTTGGAACCCATCCAGGAGTCGGTCTACCATCCTCTGGAAAGTAGCTGGGGCGTTTTTCATCCCAAATGGCATGACCTTAAACTGGTACAAGCCAAATGGGGTGACAAAGGCCGACTTCGGGATGGCCTCTGGGGCCAGGGGGATTTGCCAATACCCCTTACATAAGTCGTGAGTGAGATATTGACCTCTGGCCATTCTGTCCAGTAGCTCATCTATCCGTGGCATAGGGTATGCATCGGACACAGTTTTCTCGTTTAATCTCCGGTAGTCTACGCAGAAGCGGGTCGTACCGTCCCGCTTCGGTACGAGCACTACCGGAGAAGCCCAGGGACTGAGGGCTCAATCACCCCCAGTTGGAGCATCTCATCGATCTCCTTGCGCATGTTTTCCCTTACCGCTTCCGGGATGCGGTAGGGGGTCTGGCGCATGGGTAGTTGCCCTGGGGTCTCTACCCGGTGAGTGGCCAGAGGGGTGTACCCAGGTACATTAGAGAACGTGTCTCGTTTCTCCTCCAACAGCCGCTGTACCTCAATACGCTCCTGTGGGCTCAGCCGGTCTCCCAGTGCGATTTCCCTAAATCCCCAGACAGCTGCCCATCTCCCAGCAGATCTGGGAGTGGTAAGCTGTCAAACTCGTCAGAATTGGGCGCACATATGGCGGTTACCTCCTTGGAGCGATCTTGGTAGGGCTTCATCATGTTCACATGGAGCATGCGTCGCCCTCCCGTCCCTGTGCAGGGGCCAATTATATAGGTGGTGTCACATCTCTGTTCCACTACCCTATAAGGTCCCTGCCAGGCGGCCTGTAGCTTGTCATGTCGGACAGGCTTTAAAATTAGCATTTTCTGCCCAACCTGAAAACTACGGTCCCTGGCTCCCCGATCATACCATGTGCGCTGGCGGCTCTGTGCCACCTGAAGGTTTTCCCTTACCGTCCTAGTTAATGCTTCCAGGCGGTCTCGGAGGGCCAACACATATGGTATGATGGGAGTGCCATCTTCGCTCCGATCTCCCTCCCAATGCTCTCTTATAAGATCTAAGGGGCCTCTGACTCTCCTCCCAAATAGCAGTTCAAACGGGGAAAACCCCGTGGATTCCTGCGGCACCTCCCGGTAAGCGAATAGGAGATGCGGCAGGAACCGCTCCCAGTCCTTGTGGGTCTCTGCGAAGGTTCGGAGCATTTGTTTCAATGTACCATTGAACCGTTCGCAGAGCCCATTAGTCTGGGGGTGGTAAGGGGCACTGATAATAGGCTTAATGCCACAGATCCTCCAGAGGTGTTGGGTGAATTCTGCGGTAAATTGGGTACCCTGATCCGAGATAATCTCCCTGGGTAATCCCAACCGGGAGAATATCTGCATGAGGGCATCTGCGACCGTTTCAGCGTGAATGTTGGTCAGAGCCACTGCCTCTGGATATCTAGTAGCATAGTCTACTACCGTTAAGATGTACCTTTTGCCTGACGGGCTAGCTTTCTTGAGGGGGCCTATCAAGTCTACCGCTATTCGGCTAAAAAGGTTCCTCAATTATGGGCAGTTTCACCTTCCTCCGGTCTCCCCTTTGGCAGGTATCGCAGGTGGTGCAATACCTGCGTACCTCCTGGCTGATCCCTGGCCAGAAGAAACTTTGGGTCAGTCGGTACATAGTGCGACTGACCCCTCGATGTCCGGATAGCGGGATATGGTGTGCTATCCGGAGTAGCTCTGCTCGGTACCGCTGCGGCACCACTAGCTGCCTCATCACTATTGGGTCTGACCCAGCAATCTGCTTGTCTGTCTCCCTGTACAAAAGCTGCTTGTCCCAGACAAATCTCTCTCCCTCTCCCCCAGGAGGGTCTGCTGTCACCTTGTCCCTATACACCTGCAAGGTGGGGTCAGTCACTATCTCAGCTGCAAATTCGTTAGGAGGGGCCCAGGGAACACAGTCAAGGGAAGGGGAAGGGTCTCTTACCTGAACCTCCGGAAGTGTGTTGTAGTCCTGGGTGCGGGCCTGTTGACGGGTGACCACAGGGTGAGCTTCTCCTGTGGTGGGTGTCTGGGGCTCAAAAGCAGACGTGAGCCTCCCCAGATCGTTCCCCAACAATACCTCCGCCGGTAACTGCGGCATCAACCCCACCTCCACATGCCCTGCCCCCGCTCCCCAATGTAAATGTACCCTTGCTGTAGGTAGCCGGTACACTGCTCCCCCGGCTACCCTGACGGCCACAGTTTTACTCAGTTTCGCTTGATCCGACACCAGGTGACTCTTTACCAGGGTGATAGTAGCCCCTGAATCACATAGTCCTTGTACCGCTTTACCCTCCAGGTATACGGTCTGCCTGTGATGCTGTCTGTTATCAGCATTGGCCTGGACTGGATCCGCCTCGTGCAGTACTTCCCACTGTTCCACGGTTGTTATGGGAACGGCTGACCCATATGGTGTGGCCACTATATCTTGGTAGTGGTGGGCTGCGGCGGCTCTTGGCGGTGGGCCAGGGCGAATCCAGGTGGAACGATCCCTCAGCTGGGGACATTCCCTTTTATAATGTCCCCATTTCTGGCAGTGATGACAGGGGCCAGAAGTGGGCTGGCGAAAACGTGGCTGTGTAGCGGGTGGTGGTGGTGGTGGCAGTTGTCTCGGTGTAGCTGGGTTGTAGCCGTTTCCCCCAAATGTTTTAAAGGTGGCTTTTGGGGCTGCAGGTTTCTGCTGCCTGCGTGCATCCAGGTACTCATCTGCCTTCCTGGCAGCTTCGATGAGGGAGGTAGGGTTTCTGTCCCTCACCCATTCCTGGACATCGCTGGTTACCCCCTCATAAAATTGCTCCAACAACACCATTTGTAATAAGTCCTCCATGGACCGAGCCTTATTGGACTGTACCCACCCCAGGGCGGCCCGATGTAACTTGCAAGCCCTTTCCACATGAGAATCCTTGTCATTTCTCTTTAGGTCTCTAAACCGCCGCCGATATGCCTCTGGCGTGATTGCATATCGGGCCAGGATCACCTCTTTTACTCTGCGGTAATTCCGAATTTCTTCATCAGGTACAGTTCTATAGGCTTCAGCAGCCTTCCCTGTGAGCTTCCCTGCTAAAATAGGCACCTACTCGTCTGGGCTATGTGGGGATATTTATGGGATAATAATAGTAACAGTGAGAATTGCCCACTAATTCAATTCTCAGATCCCAAAGAACGTTTATCGTGTTAAGTGGAATGTATTTCATATAATTGATATCACAATGTATAAAAATAGATTTTATTTATGATAACCAATAATTAACAAATAATATTATGTAACATGCATGACAATAATCAATGAATATCCAGTACAAAATTATATGCAATACAAAGAAATGGGTATTACGTTTCAATGGCTATTAACTCATTATCTGTCAAGACTTCTACGATTTATGAGGTATCCTTAACACAGGCTGAAAGTGAAACTTTTCACACAGAGAACAGAATTCCTCAGAGTGCAGCATAAGGTCGTAAAGTTTAGCCGACAGTTAGAATAACCCTTTCAATGCTGGCTAGATCTCCTAGGTAGTTAAGATCTATTCTTATGTAATTTTTAAATAAAATAACATTTAAACCAGTTCATTAGCCATTTCCTGAAAACAATCCAATAAGAGAATCTACATATTATATAAGCAGATTTTAATTTGTCTAAAAGATATCTATCTTAATTTAGAGCAAATCAATACACCTGGATAAAAACAGCGGTATGCTAACACGTGATAATATCACATCAATATATAATTATTCTTAATTCCACCTGCAGAATGGAATGTTTATAACTATATATTCTTAGTTAACTAAGATTTCTTAATATGGAAATCTGACCGTGCTTTATCCAGTCATATATAATGCTATTAATACATTTTAATTAATTTAATTTAATTAAATGAAACCAGTATAATTACCAGTTGAGTAGATATTTCATCCGATTGGTAGTCTCAGGAATTTATTTGGATGTGTCTCTGCATGGAGGTTGGAGTCCCCAAACTTCCAATTCCTCTCTTTTCTCTCCTTGCATATCTTGCATCTGCCTCCTTCGTATTTCTTGTCCCTTCTATCTTCCCTTTGTCTTAACTTTTAAAGGGCCAGACTCTCTGTATGTCATCAGTTGATAACCCAATAGAAGCACTAGAGGTGTGGTTATCTTCCAGATCGCAAATTAGTTATTTGGTCTGTAGAGGGCAATCTTGTCCCACTAAACATACCTATCCAGGAAAGAGTTAACTTTTCCTGGTGGCTATTTTGACGTCATTTTGCGTTATCTTTATAGCGCCATAATTTAAAATTTCAAAGGGTTTCTTAAATTTTGTCCAGACTTAGCGTCTGCAAATCTGCTATAATTTCTGATATGACAGATCATGAACTAAGTTTACCCTTTTCCATACAATGGTACCTTATATATATAGACAGTTAAATATTAAATTTAATCTTCTCTGTCACAATTGTCTGGGTTTAAATTTGATTATATTCCATTAGCATTAGACAGTCTGTCCAACCCCCTTCCTTATCACTTGTCTTGTATATACTATGCATTCCTCAGCTCTGGGAAAGTGGTTAGCTTACAGATAGAAATACTGTGTCTCTTTGTTAACTTGAAATAACAAAATGGAGTCTGGTCTGTTCAGAGTGACTCAGAATATACACTTTTAGTTTCTATCATAGCACAAAATGTCTGCCGATATAAATACTCTGACATAACCCCCCTTTAGTGCATTTCATAGCCAAAATTAATTTAGCTTATGAATAAGCACTATAGAAGTTACTAGACATATTGTGCAATCACATCATTTCTAACATAGGCCCGTGCGTGGAATGAACATTTTTGTATATATTTGTACCTGTAAAAGTTTTGAACTTTACACTTAGTACAATCAACCATAATATCATTATTATCATAGCACATCCAATAACAATCTTAACATGGATGAACCAGTCAACACGAGCAATAAGGTCAGTATCTAGCTCAGAGTATTTAAATGTATCCACAGAAATGTTATCTTTTCTGATTGACATTTGGATAGTGTGGTTGGGCTTGTGGTCCAGCAAGAATTTTAGATTAGGATCTAGAGGGATATCTAGATTCTGGAAGGGATCCACCATCTCAATAGCACTTTCGATGACGTCAGTGTACACTGGGTATAGCGTAACGTCACCGATGGTGATACGAGAGTCGTGGGGTACCTTGATCAGTGAGACAGGTGCTGGTAAGGCAATTACTTTATTAGTCACCTGGTCCCTGCGAAAAACACTTATGTTTTTAAGACACGTGCTTACCAACCATTTATCTTTTACTAAGATAGCATGTACTAACGCATTACTGTCGGTTTTTGACATAGTTACTTGACATGTTTCAGAGCCATGTTTAAGGTACTCGATCCCACACAAAGCATTGGTAGAATCGTACACAAAAGGTTTTCCATCACATTGGAAATTATTGTCTTTGAATTTCTCACAGTCATTCAAAATGGGTATAGAATACCAATCTGGTACCCATGGTTGAAAAGCCAAAACATCTGGGGTTTGGACTTTTACGTGGATATTTTCCTTCCATGTACCGACATTGTAGATTGTTTTCATTTGAAAAATGTTTTTGGGAGTTACATATGGTATGGCCAATAAAAAGCAAATCTCCATACGTTCCGGATCAATTAAGAGAGGTATAGCGCTCCCCATCTCAAAGGCCAGATTTAATTGCATAGGCTCAATTGTCTCTCCATCCACATTGGCAAGCATCGCATGAACAATATCCTTGGATACAAAATACAGAGGTATGCGTCCCCCTGCCAATTCGATCATTCCAGTTTGCACTTCGTCAAGAAAAGCAAGTGTGTGGAACAGTATTGGGTCATGCAGAAATAAAAGTTCACGCTTGAATAAGTCATGACTTTGGTGCAACTCAGTGGATTTGGCAATTAACTCTGAATGCAAATTTGTTGTAACAACTGTGTCTTCCACAATAGTTAACACGTCTTGGAGAAGTGTTCTTTGCTGTTGTATCACCTGATGAATATCGTTAATGTTGCTTTAGCGCATAGATTTCCATATCCAGCTTTTGGACAGTAATAGAGTTGGCTGCAGACATTCCAGTTGCGACAACTGCACCGACAGTGGCACAAACTAATGCAACAATTATAGCGGTGAGGAACCTTTTGGGTCGGTTGCTCATCGGAATAGAACTGGATACAAATGGTTTCCGGGCTTGCTCCAAGATGTTTCGCACACGGTCCTGTGCTCTTTGGAGGTGCATCTGGTACCAAGTCTGTAACTCAGGAAGCTGCATCGATGAAATGTTGTATGCCTTCTCGATGGAAATCTTGGGGTCCAAGCTGACGAACACACGTCTGGTCAGGATCCTCTTCTCTGTTAAGATGAACCCTGGTGTCTCTTGAATCAGGATGCCGGAGGATGGTCCCATCTCTGCGATCGGGTCGGTCCGTAGCTCTTGGCACAGGAGCAGTATGATCCAGAAACACGCCACATCCTTCTTGGACATCTTTCGACAGTCACGGATCAGGAACTCGTTTCAGACTTATCTACTAATGATTCAAGGTTTGTTAAGCATACAAACTTATAACAGTGTGACATCACTTGGCCTAGGACAACACATTATTACGATTCATCAACATATGTATTCTGTCTAATTCTATTTTTATAACTTCATCCCTCACTACATTTATTACTGACTCCTCAGCAATATGCCTATAGCAGTTAAACAAGCTAGTAACCTGCTTATAAAATGTAGTTATTGGATGGCAAGGAAATGGTTAATGACCTGAACGTACATGAGATCATGGCACATCACAACATTTCACATCATACTATACCACGTGAATCAAGCATTCATCCAGGTTAGTCGTTCACCCTTCTGCATCCGAATCCACACCTATAATCCTTAATTGAGATTTAGGATGACAAGCACGCAACTGGTTAATGTGAACCCACTTTTCAATAAAATCACCATCCTTAGGAATTTTTATCTTATACGCTACAGGGGAAATTTTGTCAATGATGACATATGGCCCTTTCCAAGAAGGTAAAAATTTATTTTCCTTAACTTGATTTCGCGCAAAGTTATACAGATAGACTTGATCTGTTATCTCATATTCCTTTTTCGTGGTTTTTGGATCGTAATAGGTCTTCACCCCTGTCGCTGCTTTTTCTAGATTCTTTTGAGCAAAAGCAAATGCATGCTGTAAATGCTTGCGCAAATCTTCGATATACTGATGCGTAGTGGCAGCATTGATCAAATTATGATCCGAAGTACGGTATAGTAAATGCTGTGGTAAAACCATCTTTCTTCCTGTCATCAATTCAAAAGGTGACAATTTGGTAGCAGTGCCAGGTGTAGATCTAATCGCCATTAAAACTAGGGGCAATTTAATGTCCCAGTCTTTACCAGACTCCTTAACATACTTCTTCAGAATATTAACGATAGACTGGTTATATCGCTCTACCCCCCCGCTAGACGCAGCGCGGTATGCAATATGTAGCTTTCGTTTAACACCTAGAATGTTCCACATCTTAGCCATTACTTCGCTGGTAAAATGACTACCTCTGTCTGACTCAATTCTTTGAGGCAGACCGAACCTGGAAAAGACATGGTTAATCAACAAAGTGGCGCACACGGTACTCGTGTTCTCTTTACAAGGCAAACATTCTATCCACTTTGTGTACATACATGTAACGGTTAACATGTATTTGTTACCTCTTGAAGATCTTGTTACAGGACCTATAAAGTCAATTTGAATATCAGACCAGGGTAATGACACCCCCCTTTTCTGAAGTGGTGCACGATGGGTTGGACCATGGGGTTGATATTGCGGACAAATCAAGCATCCCTGACAGTATGTCTTAACATCCCTTAACATGTGTGGCCAATATGCATAATCACGCAATATCTCATATGTGATCTTATCACCACGATGCCCAGATGTAGGTGCATCATGTGCGTGTTGGAGCATTAACCCTCTGTATACAGTTGGGACTACCCATTGTTGTATACCATGTTTAGAAGTTCTGACCAGTAACCCATCCATGATACTAAATTGGACTTTATATCTCATCAAGATTCGTAAATCTTCATTATTTTTGCAATCCTCATCTGAGATGGGATTGGCAGTAGGGTCTTCTATATGTTTATAGAATATGCCTATGACGGGATCATTCTTTTGACTAGTAATCAGGTCATCACTAGGAGCTTCTTGACTCCATTGCACGACATTTAAGTCGGCATTATCTCTAGCCTGTCGTCTAGTTATGGCTTCAACATGAATTGAACCCATAAGATCATCAATGTTTAGGGTTTCACCATTGATGGCAGCTTGTTTTGCCAGTGAATCAGCTAAGTCATTACCATCCTTATCAATACCTTCTATTTTAGAATGGCCTTTGGTTTTCTTCCAATATATGGTTAAACCATTTTCCTTAACCAGTTCATCGATTTTACAAAACAATTTCCCATGTTTAACAGGTTTGTTATTGCTTTTCAGCATTTGGTTACGTTTCCAGCTAGGCAGATATTCAATGAAACTGTTGCGAACATAGTTGGAATCAGTTATAATAACAAATTCTTTGATACCATATTCTATTGCCATTTGAATGGTCTTATATACTGCACAGAGTTCGGCTATCTGACTGCTTTTGGGACCAATATTGTATCCTATAGATACATTGGGATAATCACCTACCCAGGCGATTCCGATACCTGCAACTAACTTCCGTTCAGCACCAACGACGTGGTGATATGAACAACCATCAATGTATACCCACGGTAGTGGTCGACAGTATTCCTCGTCATAAACTTTATAAGGAGATAGCAATTGCTCTTCTAGGAAGTCATCTCCGGTGTCATTATCATCCAGAGATGGAGCAGTACAGTCATGTAATTCTGCTAAACCTTGGGCAACTGGGCTTCTCTTATTATGTTTATAACGGACTTCTAACGGCCATCCCTGTAAGGATAGAGTCCATGCAGTAATTCGACTGTTAGAGAGATTACCGTCTCTAATTCTTTCACTCTGCAGATACTGTAGAGGTTGGTGAGCTGTTTCTACAATTATTTTCTCACCTTGGATATAGCTACGAAAATTTTGTAGTGCCCAGACAGTCGACAATAACGCCTTCTCACACGTGTTGAATTTAACTTCAACAGGTGACAAAGTCTTGCTAGCATATGCAATAACCTTGTTTAAACTGTCCTGCTTCTGATACAGAACAGCACTGATGCTTAAATCGGTATATCCTGTCTCCAGATAGAAGGGTTTACCCCCCTCTGGGTATGCTAAACAGGGTGCCTGAGTGAGCTTCCTCCTCAGTTCACTTACCGCTTGGTCCTGAGGCTTCCCCCAGTTCCAGGTAGTTCCTTTTTTAAGCAAGTGTAAGAGTGGTTTAGTTATTTCTGCATAGTTATCTATAAACTTACGGGAGTAGTTAGTCATACCAAGGAACGATCTTAATTCCCTGATGTTTGAAGGTGTTTTAGCCTTTAGTATGGCTTCAACCTTCTTCCTCTGGGGATTTAATCCTTCAGAAGTTACCTCATGTCCGAGGAAATTGACATGGGTGCGACACCATTGCGCCTTTTGTAAAGACAGTTTAATCCCTGCCTCCCTTAACTGAGTGAGAACATGTCTAATCTCTAAGATATGCTTATCAAAGGAAGTGCTTTTCAGCAAGACATCGTCGACATATGATAACGTTCCTCTCTCGAGTGCGTCAGGCATAGCTTTATGCATGAACACAGCGAATTCATGACCAGAGTTTATGTAACCGAAAGGCATACGGGTCCAGGTATACTGCTGCTTTCCAAATGTGAAGGCCAATTTGTATTGGTCTTCATTATGGACTGGTACAGTCCAATATCCCTGCGCACAGTCAATGGCAGTGAATATTTTGGATCCCTGCATTTGTACCAAACATTGGTCTATGTATGGCGTTGGCCAACCAGACATATAGACGCGTTTATTTAGCTGTCGTAAGTCAGCGCATAAACGCCATTGTCCATTAGGTTTCAGAATCCCCAAGATTGGATTATTATACGAACTGTGCACTGGACGTATAATGCCCCTTTCCTTTAAATTCCGAATGATGTCTTGTAGACCATCATATGACGCTAATGGGAGTATATATTGTTTGATGAATACAGGTGGTAAATTTGGATCAGTTTGTATTCTGTCTACGTGGAGGTTAGTTAACCCACAGTCGTAGGAATCTTTGGCAAAAATATCTTGGAATTCCAAAAGGATTTCCTTTAGCTGTTGCCGCTCAGCATCGTTGGAGCAACCGTCAGCTAAAGATATTTGCTCTTCTAGCCTTTCCTGAAATCCTGGAAAGATTTCAGGCTGGCCTATCTCATAAGCTTCTTCAAGCCTAGAAGTTAGGTCAGTTCGGTGTTGACTTACCTTTTCTCTTTGGTCGAGATACTCTTGTGATTCCTGCTCATTGAGCGGATGATCGAAGGTGATTGATGCTTCTTCGATTTTACACGAGCCTTCTTCAACATTGAAGGGATACACAGATAGGATAGTGAATAATCCTTCTGGGGAGGAATGGAATATTTGATCGACAATTTCGTCCTCAGTTAAGTATTCTTCAGGGATGAGGCCTATAATTTGGTTTTGGAAACCAAATGTATAGTACTCAGCATCCAATGCTAGACCTAATAATGTTCCTTTTGGTAAAGTAACACTATTGGGTGTAACATTGTTGACCATGATATAGGTGGGATTCTTACCAATACTTACCATTGGTGTATGTGTTACCACCATCCCTAATTGTTGTATCCTGTTGGATAAACAGATTAGGGCATCAGAGTTTTCCAATCTCTGACCCTCCTTGACCTGTAGGGGTAAAAGAAAATTACTTGTCCCCTGTGGAATGGTTATGTCATCAGGAACTTGGATACTTACCGCATATGGGAGTATTTGTCCTGATTTCAGGGCGTTTTCCTCGTGTAGGTATCCACAAGGATTACCTTTTAACCTTGTCCACAAGTTGGAATTAATCAGGTCAAGGTGTATGGCAAAGCGATGTATGACATCATTGCCAACGTAAACCTGATAGCGAGGTTCGTCTATCACTAAGAATAAATGTTTAACTGTCTTATTTCCGATGGAAATAGATAGTAAACATTTTGCTATCACATTGTAACTCTCTGATTCGCCATCCAGATTCTGGATCCACCTGTCATGTGGGGAAGCGTACCTGATCATTTTAGGATTAGCTATCTGCTTTAACAGACTTCTGCTAATATAGCTGTTCTCACTCTGTAAGTCCAGCTTTGCATTCCTACTTCTTCCTAAGTCATGTATTTGAATAGGAAAGAATAAGTTGTTATTAACCCTTTCAATTCTGGCAAGGAATTGAGCATGACCTGCCAGATCTACAGATTCAACATAGTCCCTGTGGAGAGAAATGGTTAAAACATCACCTTCCAGAGAGACATTCTGGATCCTCTCTGGAGCAATTCTTACGGAATGCTCATCTACAGGTGCG